ATATATATTCTACTGCAATAGGAACGAGTTGAAGGTAAACTTTTTAATTTAAATTTGTTTATTTTATTCAGAATTTCGAGTGAAAAATTCCATTGCAACTGAAAAACAACCAAAACAATCTGCCTCCGACAAATAAGAATTAAATACTTCTGTAAAATTACCTTAATAGTTCGTTTAGATAATTCAAAGTACTTTTAAACTGAACTTCCAATAGCGATAAAGAAAAAACTTACAAACTGTTGATCTTTGTAACTTTCTTGTGATAAATCAGAAAGGCTTAAGAAGATAACAAGAATAAAGCACTTAAAGCTTGAAACAATAGATCTTTTTGAGAAAAATACCAGTGATTGCGAAGGAGTCAACAAATAACCGTTGTTTCGATAACAGGTATAGACTCCTGAAATCCTCATTAAAGTGAAACAGTTATCGGGAACTGTATTTCAGTTCTTATCTGCATTTGTTAAGAAAGAGATGAGACTAATTTTCTAAAGAAAATGTCTTTCTTAAATCCTGGTTTATGGGTGTCGTTTAAGTAGTTGAGCTTGAATTTCTTGATAAGCATTGATTTTATTCTACGAAATCAAGTTAGTATTAGAAAATAATGCTATCTTATGATAGGGATAGTAACGATTTTTAAACAGTAATCTTTAAATGTAATTTGCAAGAAAAGTTTATTGCCTACAAATATTAAAGTAGAAATAATTTTCAATGGAAAAATTATTTTCAATGCAAAAATAATTTTCAATGGAAAAATTATTTTCAATGTAAAAATTATTTTCAATGTAAAAATAATTTTCAATGTAAAAATAACTTTCAATATAAAAATAATTTTTAATGTAAAAATAATTTCCAATATAAAATTTTTTTTCAATCTAAACAGATACATATGCAGAATATGCTTTAATATGAAAGTAAATTTATAAATAAAAGCAATTTTCTACGCAAAAATATTTTTTTCCTTAAAAATAATATTCAATGTTAAATAATTTTTTTAAATCAAAAAAATGCATTAATATAGTTTTGTTGTAAAAATAATTTTCAATGTAAAATTAGTGACAAATTATTTTCTCTGTAACAATTATTTCTGATGCAAAAAAAAGTTGAAATAATTAAGTAGAACAGTTTTCAGGATGAAAATAAATTTTTCATAAAGACGTAAATATTTTTATTTTTTATTTTTTCTACTTTTATTTGTAAAAGTAGTAAATTGTGACAGTTAAGTTTTTCGAATATTGTATTATTTTCTAATAAAAGTAGCGTTATGAGTGCATGTTTTTGTAGATAAAACAAATAAAAGCATAATTTGAAAAAAAGGATTTTGAGTTTTCTCAAGTCATCATGAAGGTTATAATGAAATTTATGCATTAATTAATTTTGTTTAAAATATTAACTTACATTTAAAGGCTAAAATCTAAAGCAGAAAATTGATAGCTTAGGAAAAATTTCATCTATGTTTACCGTTATTACTTTTTAACTTTATCAATCTTGGAGTTTTGCCTTTTTAAATATAATTCAATATATCATGTAATTTGTTTAATATTTGAATACAAAATGTTTTTGGGAAAACATCACTAGATTTTCGTTGTCAGGTTAAAGAGAAGATTAATAAGAACGCATAAAATGAGTATTCCTTTATTCTTAATTTTTTTTCAAAAAATTGATTTGGAATGTACATGATTTTATTTTTCAAATGAATCCCTGTTTATGTGAGATTGTTATATTGTTTAGATTTTATGATCTTTTCAATTGTTATTCATTGAAAGGTTGACCTATGGAACGAACCGAGATTTGTTGGTGCCCCCGTAATGACACGCCTAAGACCGGAATTGATTAAGCCCGTCGAACATCTTCTAAAAGAACAGGGTCTGCAATATGAAGTGGCTTATTCGAATTTGCAAAGGTAATTCATTACACATTCTACAGATTTTAGTTCAGATTTAGAGTACAGTATATTAATTTAAAAATCTGAACTGGTGTTACTATTTTCTTAATTTAATTACCTAATGTCTTTTCAATAATGAGTGGAAAAAATCTATTTTATTGATATATAAATCGATAACACTAATTTTTTTTATTATTATATTTTGTTTTGTTTCTTTATTTATTTGAAAACCGTATTAAATTTTACTCAGTCAATTCTGATAATAACACTAGTTAAAAAATTTTCTTTTATCATTTCGTAAAGAAAAGGGATGACATAAAACTAATTTGAAAAAGCGCTAAAACAACGTAAAAGTCATTTATCAATACATTATTTTTGCATTATTAAAACCCTAACATCATTATAATTTATTAACCTAATGTGGGCCACTTTTTTTAATGAATTATAAGCGAACCAATTATAATTTTTTCTTTGTTTAGTTTAAGAAATTAAATATTATTTCAGTGCAATTGAGGCAGAAAGGATTCAAAATGCCCCCACGAACTTCAGCAGAGCAGAGGAATATAATTTTGGCAAGTACCACAAATATGAAGTGGTAAGCATTATCTTTTTGAATTTTTTGTCAGTTTGATAGATAAAGATATGTTCTTTCAGTGGTGATCAGCGTTTCAAAGCTTCATTTATTTGAGTACAATTTATGTTTGCAGGTTATTATGTATGCAAACAAGATAGCGTGTCAACGTTGCAGTTGTTAGATTTGTCTCTTCGCCGAGCTCTTTTCGTTAATAAAAGAATTAAATATCTGGTTTCTTTTGTTTTGCTAAATATTAATTGCATATTCCATTAATTTATCAGAATTCATAAGTTGCGAGATTATCACACGATGCGATAATCAATTACGAGATCGAATATCGAATTTACATTTGACAGGATAGGCTTACTCGATAATGAATGAAAAGAACAGTTGCTAACATCATCAAATACCACGTTTTAACTGCCAATCATGATCGATGACGTGGCTTGCAGTCATCCATTTATCAGCTTATCGAATATCAAATTTATGTTTGACGGGTTAAGCTTACTCGAAAATGAACAGAAAAAGCAGTTGCTAACATCATCAAATACCACGTTTTAACTGCCAATCATGATCGATGACGTGGCTTGTAGTCATCCATTTATCTGTTTATCGAATATCAAATTTATGTTTGACGGGCTAGGTTTACTCGAAAATGAATAGAAAAAACAGTTGCTAACATCATCAAATACCACGTTTTAACTGCCAATCATGATCGATACCCCCAATGACGTCACTGACAGTCATCCAATTATCTGCTTATGCAGTATGTACTACTCACGTTGAACATAATTAGAATAGAATTTTGAGTAATGTTTGCAACATTTTTATTTTAGGTAGTTCAATTGCTGAAAGATTTGAGTGAAAAATATTCGACCATCGCAAAACTCGAAGTTATTGGCAAAAGTTATGAAAACAGACCCCTTTACAACATGAAGGTGAGCATTACACGAAAATTTCAACTCTAATTTTAATGTTATACTGAAATATATATGGTCGACAGGAACTGTTATATATTTTAGAACTCTTATATATTTTAGATCAGTTCTGGAGACAGTTCTGCCAAGCCAGCCATTTTGATGGAATGCGGTATCCATGCAAGGGAATGGTCATCTGTAGCTGCTGGAGCCTACATGGTCAACAAAGTAATAACATTTTATTTTAACCATATACAAACATCCTATTTACATAGTGAATGTATGGTTTTCTGAGTACTGTAAGTTCAGCAATTATTTCCATGCTTGCTGGTACTCTTCATTTACTATGGGTTAGATCAATACAGATGAGTAGAAGGCCTTCGCACCGGTTACCATTAACAGAAAATTTGATCCCTTTGTAGTTCAAACGTAATGATATCTTTCATATTTACCACCACTGCGCAGTTAAGTAGCCCGAGTAATGACATCTTTTTATTTTTCATCAACTGCGCGGTTTATGTTCGTTACGTCGGACAACTAAATTGATCCTTGCTGAGGCCTTCATTCTCTTAAGCGGTGTTGGTTGTATTCGGGAATTTCAGTTCGTGTTGATAAATATTACTTTTGTGTTGATAAATAAGTTGATAAAAGTTATTTTTTTTAATATGTTGAATTATTGATAAACAATTCAACATAATTAAAGCAAGTAATATTAATGCGACACTCGAGGGGTTCTGTTTGAAAATTTTATTTTCAAATGATATTAAAATTTTTATAAATAATATAATTAATATAAAATTGAATAATTTTCAAATGCTGTAAAATTTGTAATATTTTTTTATTACTTTCTTGTTACAGTTTCCTATGGGGAGGATTCTGAAATCAATACTCATGTTGATAAGAAATCTAAATTCTACGTAATTAGTAAAACTAATATTTATAAAATATTAGTTTTGTTAATTATGTTGAATTCGTATTTATTATCAACATGAGTAAAACTAATATTCATAAAAATAATTCCTGAATTGACGATGTTAACACAGGCGACAGTGGAAATTTGAAAAAAATATTTATAAACTAACTTGTAAGGCCTTTGCTGAAAAACTTACAAGTAAAATAAAAACGAAAAAATAAATTATGTAATTATTGTAACAAATGCTATGAGATTTGTAATTATTCTATTACTTTCTAGTTATAGCATATGGCTTCCAATGGGCCGTGTTCTGAAATTGCAGCTCTTGTTGATAAATTCGAATTCAATTTAACTTATAAAATATATACATAAAAATTCCTTGGTAATTTCCAATGCTAAAAACTTCCAAATTATATAATTGATAAAATATTGGAAAGTTTTCCAAGCTGTGAGATATGCAATTAATTATTTTTACTTTCATTTTGCAGATCCTCACCTCCTATGGGTCGGATTCTGAAATTACAGCTCTTGTTGATAAATACGAAATCAACATAATTGTTGAGATAAATCCTGACGGATATATATTCACATGGGACCAGGTAAATAATTTGTATTACTGTAGCGTTTCCTAAACTTTTAATCTAGCAAAGATTTTTATACAGAATTACGGCTCCATATAAGAAAACTACAGTTATAATGTATTTTCTATGTATAATTGAAATATATCATATTAAATAGGCCTTGTTTAATAATGAATGGTATCATATTTTTTAAAAAAAAAAATTTTGACCTTAAAAATGTATAAAAATATCTGGACTTGGAATATCTAAGAAATAGTTTTGAAGTGAAAGAATTTATTCAAGATCACGTTAAATTAAATGCTTCGTAACATGAATATTTACAAAGTGATCTTAACTCATTAAACCCGGCATTTTCAAGCATTAAAATTTAAGTATGAAAAGCAGATTATGCTAATGCTGAGATATTAAAATAAGTTTACTTTGAGTTATCACTTTTCTCGTTTTCCCGTAAATCTCCTGGGACAATATGTCCCAATCGACTTGAATATTGTAAAAATACCTATATATGGCATGGAAATTAATATGAAAAAAATATATATAAATGCATCGAATTATTTATTCATTTGATAATTTTTCCGTTCATATGGTAACGATTTGCGGAAAATCCTGGTTTTCAAGCTTATAGTTCTTATAACCACACATTTAATAAAAAATTCTAAACTGAAAAGTAAATTTAATCGAAATGTTGGTTTTTATATCATGCCCTAAGGTATCATTATAAAATTACCAAATTTTATCACATATTATAAAACCATATTTTATTGTTAATTTTATCGAGATCATTACCAAAGTGCTTCTGTAAAAATAACCGAGTTTTCTGGTGTTCCATAGAACCAAGAATACGGTCTAATTTATCATATGCTGGTAATTTGAACATACTTTTTTCTCTCAGTGTAAGAATTAGAAAATTACACGAGTAAATTTTTTTTCAGATTTTAATTCTTTTTTTTAAGATCTACAACTAAATGTTTTTTTTAAAACAAATCCGCACTTAAATCAGTTTAATCGTAACCATAAATTATTAAAACGCTAAGTATAATATTTTCCCATTATTTTGTCCTAAATTACTACAAAATAATGAAAAAAGTGGGAAAAATATGTTTAATAAAATTCTGTGTCAAAAGGTTATAGTATGCAAAAAAAAAAAAAAATAATTATAAAAAAAAAACGAATATGTTCAATAGCTTGTAAGAAATAATTTCAGAAAATTCAACTTTTTTGAATTTCTCCTGAACTATTCAACTGATTTTGCCTAAATTCTCTACTTTAACACTTTATGAAGAATAAAAACAATTTAGTTAAGTTTTAAAACTATAATTTCGGTGCTCTCTGTTATTCATCATTAAATAAATTGTAACGATGAATAACTGTTTTTTTTTTAAGATCTAAGTAACTGCAAATATGTGCAAAACTGAAAAATTATTGTTTGGAACATTTTACCTTTAGTGCAGAACAAGACACCAGTGTTTCAGGCGACATAAATTATGAAAGCGCTAAGTATAACAATTTCCCTTTCTTTTGAACCAAATAAAATATGAAAAATATGTTTAAATGAAAATTCTGCTTCAAAATTTAAAACTAAATATTACAATAACGAATAAGTCTAATAGTTAGCAAGAAATAATTTCGAAAAATTTATGTTTTATAAAATTTGAATTTCTCGTGAATTAGTCAACCGATTTCATTCAAATTCTCTACTTTAATAACTTATGAAGAAGAAGAACAATTTAGTAATATTTTAAAAATATAATATTTGTGATCTGATTCATTCTTGAACCAATAACAAGTCTCCTTGTTTAGGAGACAATTGTCATTTATACTGTTACAATCAAGGACTTACCAGGCAATTTAATTAGCAATTAATTAATTTGCCTATTTTTTTAATAGTAGGGGAGAGTGGGGTCAATTGTAAAATTTTTTACTTAACTATTTTTAACTAACAAAAAATCCAATATATTATTAGTATTAATTGACAGACGAGTAAAGTAGATTATCCTCTACTAGAAAAAAAAAATTAAAACCTTATTTTAAATGTTATTATATTAGTTATTAACAATTTTTGACAGTCGTGCACTTGTTACAATTGTCCCCACTTACGGGGTCAATTGTAACAGTTCATAAATTCAACTAAAACATAGTTAATTATACATAGTATCATAGTTGTGATATATTTCTTTATTGATCAAAATAGTAGTGATATTTTAGGAGTAAAAATAATAATGAGCAGAGACCTAAAGGGTTAAGCTTTTAACTTTAAGGGGTTAAAAATTTTAATTTATGCTGTGAAAGGTGACAAATAAAATAATGCACATGCAACATAATATAAATGATATAGGAAACTATTGGTGGTTCTTAAAGACTTAAGTAATGGTTTGTAAACATAAGATTATTTATTTTCAGCTGTTACAATCGTCCCTTTACTTATTGTTACAATTGTCCCCAAGACGCCATTTCAGCTTCATTTGTTAAAAACAATGCTAGTTAATTAGCAAAACTAATCTTTTTTTTATTGAAATGTTAATTAAAGTGTCCATTTACATATTCGGTTATTAATTATTATTTGTTTAAACAAAATTACTTTGTTACAATATAATATTCTGATACCAAAAAAAGTACTTGCGTGGCGTGAAAATATCTTTTGTGATGTAACTCTTTCAAAAGTACAAAAAAATGGTTGCCATAAGGGTTGTACATGTAGATTTATTAAATACACCTTGTGCGCCACCTAGGAACCAAATCTAGAACCGGACACTCGAAATTTTTGCTCTGTTACAATCGTACCCTGTTACAATTGACCCCACTCTCCCCTACTGCAAGCGTTTTCAAATTGACTCTCTAAAACATTATTTCAAATATTCCTGAGAATATATTTTAATAAGATGCAATAAAAGCAAAATTACTTTTTTTTTAAGAATAAATATTTTTTGTTTAAGATTGATCTATTAATATTTTAAATATTTTGATAGGATCGTCTTTGGAGGAAGACTAGATCTCGCAGCAGTATTGACTGGCTCGGTGTGTGCAGAGGAGCAGATGCAAACAGAAACTTCGATATTGACCATTGCGGTGAATATTTTAACATTTTATAAGCCGAAAAGATATTTTATATAAGTCGAATTAAAACTTTATTTTTGTCTCTTAACTATTTATTTGATCTATGCCAGTGGGTGCAATAATAAGAAGTATCGAGATGCAGTAGTTTTTTATCACGATATTTTAATATTCGTCTTTCGAACAATCTATTTTCATATGTCCCGCTGTGGACTGATCGCAAAGACGCAATTCCCAGTCGAACACCGAAGTCAAGCATCACTGACTGCGGTCAGTGAGCTGGTGGGTGACAACATTTATCAGCCTGCGCAGGGAGCGAGGATGCACGGTATAGGTTACTGTTCTACCGTAAAGTGTACGACTTTTGACTCTGGTCATCGGGCTACCGAAGGGGAGCCATCCCCTCTGCGGTGGATCAAAATAGTGATGGCATGTCTTCGGATCACCCTCAGAGATGTGTCCCAGATCATCGCCAATCTACATACTTATTTTGATATCATTTCTCTTTACATTGTCTTGAAGCTTAACATTTATTTTAACCGTAACATTGATTTTTAATCTTAACATTGATTTCAATATCTCCAAAGGCTGTAAAGAACTTTTATTCGTAAATGCGAGCCTTATATGATAACCTGATAGCCTGGATTTAACATGATTTCGAATAACTTTGTAGGACTAACTAAATATTATGTTAATAAATGCTTGTCAATTGCAAGTAAGCCGGAAAAAAAGGAAATAAAAATCCAGAATATCTATTATTTGAAATAAAACATTGTTTCTCTTAAGGATATTTGTTGTTGTAGTTCATTTACGTCGCACTGGAGCTGCACAATAGGCTATTGGCGACGGTCTGGGAAACATCCCTGAGGATGATCCGAAGACATGCCATCACAAATTTGATNTTAGACAATATCTTAGCCAGACGACCTGCACGCGAAGTCGAGCACTTTACGGTAGAACAGTTTAACGAGAACCAGTACCGCACACCCTCGGTCCCTACGCAGACTGATCCAAGTGGTCACCCACCCGCACACTGATCGAAACGTGTGATGCTTGACATCGGTGATTTGCCGGGAACCGTGTCTTAACGACGAGTCCACTGCGGGAGCTTAAGGATATTTATAAACAAAAATACTGTTGCTGGAAGAGGACATAAGGTTAACTAGCTTAAATGAATTGTGCAGATATAGACTTTAAAGTATTCAGAGATCTGCATTGTGGAATATGAACCCAAAAGAAACCTCAAAAGCTTTTCCAAAACTTCCCCACTTTGTTGTTTTAATTTTTATTTATTGTATTAAATCTTCGATATCTTTTGAAACGTTAATGAATTTTATCGGCGCTACAGAATTGAACAGAATAGATTTGCAAAAATCATTTCGTTTTAGCTTACAAATTATGCATTAAATAAAAAAAATTATAGAAGTTAATGATATCGAGCACTGTTTGAAATGTTCAAAAATCATTGAAATAACTTTGCATTGTTTCCTCAGGAGTTGGAACTAGTAGGAAACCTTGCGAAGAAATCTACTGCGGTGACAAGCCATTCTCTGAAAGTGAAACTCGTGCTTTGCGAGACATGATGATCGCCAAAAAAGACCGCCTGAAGGTATATTTCTCAATTCACGCCTATTCGCAATATTGGATGACACCTTATGGAATCAAGAAAACCCTTCCCTCCAACTACGACGAACTGGTAGGTTACATTATTTGGTGCCTCATAAAATTTCCTAAAGGATAATACATTATTTATAAACGTTTCATTTCATAAATATGAAAACTGATATTTAAATTTTAAATATGTGACGAATAGAAAATTACTGTTGTAAAAGTAAAGAGTCTCTTTAATATGAGTAATGTGATTTTGTGTTTCAGATTCGAGTAGGAAAAGCTGGTGTAGATGGTTTAGCCAAGAGATACGGGACTAAATTCGAATTAGGAAGCATTGCGAACATTATATGTGAGTCTGCTTATTTATTATACGTTAAGTATATTCAATTTTTCTCTTGATGTTTATATTTTACTGCCCTATAAAACTTTGGGTAAAGCTTGTTTTGTTGCCTAATTTGAAAATGAATTATTATAATTTGTAAGAAATATGGTTTTAACTTGCTTATTGATCAGAATTAAATAATAAACATGATTTATTAAAAAAAACCACACTTAGCCGGAATCAGTTTAATGAGGAAAAATGTTCTCGAAACATTACAAAAATGGTCTCCAGTAAAAAGAATGCGAAATATATATAATATTGCAGTTAGGAATATCTTATTTCTAATTATAATGCATTTGTGTCATCAACTTTACGTGCTGATGATTGAGCTGCAGATCTCTGAAAAGAAGCATTAAGATCAAACATGGAATACCCCCTTTTTATAGTTAATTTAATGCCCCTGAGGCAATTTAACAGTGTTTTTCGAAACTCTGTTGCCAGGGAAAATAAAAAGCCACAGTTTACTTACACTTGCAGCGATGCGATAATTTTAAAATATACATATAATCTTGTCATGAAAAATTATCTGGGATTCAGAACAGGAAATCAGTTTAAATATTTTAAGAGTTATTAAATTTTTCATAAAAATCACCAATTTTGCGATAATTTTCCACCTTGATGACAACTTTCAAAACGACTGCCTTATTATCAGTTTTTGCAAATTTTTATGAGCCCTGGTAATGCAGCAGAGTAAGTTTTTAAATATCAAAAAAAAATCATATCACAAAAGCATTTTTACAAAACTGTTACTTTTCTTCATATTGTCGTTTTGCTCTCATTTTCGAAATAAGCGGTAGACAGCCCTGGATTTAGATAGGCTAAACTTGTCCTAACAGTCATGAGTAACAGTTGCATCATCACCTTCGTAAAATGACGGTTATAAAATAAAATAAAAACCCGAACATTTTCTATCAGATTCAGACCAGTAGATCAGGCTAGTTAATCCATGTAACGCTTCTTCACATTCAACAAAATTTATGTTGTCAAAAGAACGATGCGACCGCGTGTTTTCATCCATTAAAATAAAACCAACTCAATCCCTTAGGGTTCCAAAAACAATCCATAGGGTTCCAAAAACACATCTCTGTACTCATACCAGTTACAATATAACTTTGAAAGGCATGGGCCATTTGATATCACTCTAGATCAGCATGATTTCCCAACTATCAAAGTTTTGTTTTCATATCGATTAATTGTTTGGAAAATTGAGGATAAATAAGAGATCTCTGGCTCTCGACATCTAAAGCATTATCCAAGGAAACTCTACTTCCAATATAATGCCCGTTATGAAACACTCTTCAAATATATTTATCTTCATATCTTCTTATATATATATATATATATATTGAGTTTAGGCGAATGATTTTTTCCACTGGAGAGAAAAAACTCGATCCTCAAAATTACGGAATTTTTCTAAACAAATCAGTAAATTTTATTCGATTACAGTAATGTCTATTCGATTACAGTAATTTTCGATAGATGGGCCGCATGATCTATTAGAAATGGGTCCAAATAATATTGCGGCCTGAAACAAACTATAGTAAAATAGTTTTCTATGGGGGAAAAAATCATAAAAAGTTTAAATATTCATTTGGCAAAGATTTCCGAAAATTGAATACTTTTGATATTTGGTTAGTTTTCTGGCGAATAATTTGAAATCCTTAGCGCAGGCCCTGTATATATATATATATTTTGAAGTAACAACTATCTTTTGTAATATATATGTTAGCATTAAAAAATCTAATTCAGTTATTTCATAAAATAACTAGGTATTTCATGAAAAAACTAGACAAGCCAGTTGAATTATATAATAGATGAAATATTTTATACTTTACCTAGTTATTCAATGAAATAACTAATGATAAAACGTTAAAGTGAAAAATAATAATTTCAAAGTTACTTTATTAGTCTATTAATTCATCATAAATGGCTAAATTCTCCCAAAAAATGCATTTTATCCCTATTGCAGATGATTAATTGATGAATAATAAGAAAAAGCAGATGATTTTCTGCTCATTTTAAAAACTATGCATAAAAGCGTACACACAGAGATTATAGCTTGAAGAGCTTACAACTGCTTATAGCTTGCAAAGCAGCTATAAGCAGTTCAAAACTGACTGAAAGCAGCTAGAACCAGTTCAAAGACCTTTCGAGTGCTGTATTTCATACTTAAACGATCAAGTAATCGTTGAATTCAATTAGTTTACATACTTTTACTGACTTGTCTAGTTATCATAAAATTCCTAGTCATTCTATAAAATAACGGATTTCCCATTTCATAGGTAATGTATATAAATTTTAAATTTTCGATTTCAGACGAAGCTGCGGGATCATCTCTGGATTACATTTATGAGGTGTTAGGAGTCAAAATGGGATTTGCTCTGGAGTTGAGGGACAACGGTCGATTTGGTTTCATTCTACCTGACAAGTTTATACTGCCCATGTGCGAAGAGACATGGGATGGTATTAAGGCTGCAATCGAAGCCTTATAAGGACTGAAATAAAAAGCATTTTCTTCTATAATGATTTGGTTTCTGATTTTTCACTCAACACTATGATCGCGACCTTCTTATCTAGTTCACAAATGCGTAAGACACAACGCGGGATTCTGTTTTACAAGGGTTACAATCAATTGATTATACATATAAGTTAAGTTAACAGTGCATATCGGTTACAATAATATCATGATCATTTCTGATAGCATATATCAAGTCACAAACCGTAATATACGGTAATACATAAAAACGGCTACTTAAAAAATTGGTTGAAACATTTAAAATTTTTCAAATAGGACTTTCAAATAGGATAGTCAAATCGGACTTTTTTTTTATTAGTTTCCAAATAATATTTTATGTTTAAGTAAAAATGATTGTTTTTTTTACCAAAATTGTTGTTAAATTTTCTTTAAGACATAAATTACTTAATTTAGGTGTCAGCCTGTAATTCAAAAAACAATTTACTTACTCCTGTTTATTACGGGAAATGTTACTTTAGAAATTGTAAATTTTAACAAACATTGTCATACTCGCCAAATAAATAAAATACATAGACGAAAAAAATTTGGTTTAGTTCAAGCAATGCCCTCAGTTGACAAAATCTTCTAAAATAATTGCAATAGATAGTATAGGTGATTTTGATTTTTTTACATAATTTTGATTATTAAATACGATATTATCGTGAGTGTTGATAAATTTTATTGGGTCACGAAATGATTGCCAATTTTTAAAAAAATATACAAATTAGTACAATTGTGTAAACTATCGGTATTTTTTTACTGTATTGGTATTGATTAAGATATTTGAGTTTTAAAAAAAAGACAAAAAATATGAATAAAAATTCGTAAGACAATTTCGCAAAGATCTAGAAAAAAACTATGGATACTGGTACGGAGGTCAACAGATATTGGTGAAACTCATAGGAGCATCAAATATGCCCATATCGCGATCATAATTAACATTATGAGTATACAATACAAAAGTCGTAATATTGCTATTGATGACTATACTTATCGAATACGATAATAAGTATTGATAACATAGCTTGGTCAAATGCCTATCTCGACTATTATACATTACGGCAATCGACAATAATTGAATATGATATTATAGTGCTTTTAGAGTTTATTTAATTGGCCATTGTAAAAACAATACAAGCTAGTTCAACGAGAAAAATATCGCTAAGCAGTGTTCAATATCGATATTTTGGCAATTCCGAAACTAAAATTCTGGAGCAAAACATGTGTCAGCGACAATTCAGGAAAGTAGTCGCCGATACATGATCCCTATAATCGGTATATGAGACTACCGAGGCTGGGATAGCCTGGCTAGTAATACCATTGGCTCGTGTTCCTGAGACTGTGAGTTCGAATTGTGCCGGTTGAACAATATCCGTGTATAAAATGGTGACTGGTGCATGTTAAATCTGCCCGGGTAACAAAGTCCTCCAATTTCCATAACAAATCAATACCTCTAGGGGTACTGTATTGGAGATTGATCTTAATCTGGTTCAGGTCTAAATTACGATCAGTGAATGAATGAATGAATATGAATGGGTCCTATCTGTAAAAAGGACTGTGAAGTCTGTGAGGCTGAAGTCTTATTCTTGGCCATAGATGGCGCCACTAAGAACATGAAACGCTCCCAATGGCTTAAAAATTTGCTTGGATTCCCTCTGCAGGCTTGGTGATGTTGGCCAGAAGCATTAGTAACATCAACATAAGACGACCTTCTTGCTCACATGCGCATGCGTCAATTTCGATTTGATTTAATCAAAATGGGGGTAAGAGGATGATACAAGACAATTTGTTTAACGATGAGTGCATATCTCAGCGTATCACTCCTTCACGAAGTAGAATCACCCCGGATTCGTTCGAAAATTAATTTTACGTCAAACAAAATATGAATGAAAGATATAACTTGATTGTTAAAAACGTGTAGGTAATTTGAACTCAAACGAACTGAAAAACACGGTTTTTTTCAAAAAAAATTAAAAACTTGATGTAAGAGAGGGTATGCACGTGATGAGTTGTATTCACGAGAAAATACTGAAAGCAGTTTTAACATGATCCTAGGTTAAAAAAAAATTTTCTTTGCACAGAAAGCGAAATAAAGTTTCATACTGAATAGATTTTGACGAAATCATTTATGGTTTGAGAATTCATCTAACTTGTGTTGATTTATTAGTGCACGTGTATTTAAATAAGGGAGGTGGCTTAAATTAAAAAAAACATTTCAATGAATCGATGGTTTGATAACTCCTAGATAAAACTTTACTTTTAACGTTTTGCACTACATGTGTGCAATTTAATAAGCATAATTGCACATACTCTTATGCTGAAAGAAGTTAAAGTATTGTTTCTATGTTTTATAGCAACATTAAAAGTTTTTTTTAATAAAAAAATTATCATAGCATAGCTACAAATAGGTACTTTTTTGAAATACTTACCAAATTTATTTCTTAAAGTTTAAAATACCTTTATAATATATTTAGTAAATGTATGGTTTAAACTATCATAACTAAACACTGAGAAAAAAGTATGGTTAAAACTACCAGCATATGGTAGAATTGAACGTACTTCTGACTCTATGGGAACACCAAAAAGCTCCCTACTAAAGCTCTTTCATTATGATTTTGATGAAAATAACACTAAAATATAATTATGCAATATTTGATAAAAATTTGGTAAATGTGGTAAATTTATCAGGATATCTTAGAGCATGGTATAAAAAACCATTTATTCGGTTAAATTCGCTTTTCAATTTTGTATTTTTTACCAAATGTGTGGTATTCAGAACTATAATTTTGAAAACTCTAATTTCTAAAAAACCGTAACAATGTGAACCAAAAAATAACTAAATGAATGGTTTAATAACCATTTCTTTTGGTTTTATTGAAAAGAAATATGGTTTTCAGAAACATCATACTTTAAGTAAACTAATTTTAAAAATTAAATAATAAGCAGTAAAGCATGTATGAATACGCGATTTTTAAATTCCATTAATAAAAACTTTTGATTTTCGCAATTAGCTTAATTGATATAGTAATTAAAAACTCCTAAGGTAGAAACAACAACTACCTTGACTGAATTATATTTCAAATATTGATAAAATTATCTATCTTCTCAGTTATAAATTGAATCTCTTGCGTGGATGAAGGTTGAACAATCTATTTCGTAACTGACACTTTATCTTTCCCTTAACAATTTCTACAAACGAAATATCTTTTATTTTTATAAAAGAAAAATCAGGCTGAATAACGGTGGGAAAAAAGCATTCTTTAAAAAGTATCATTTGATTTATGCAAATAATCATTTCCACAGCTTCTTAAATTTCGTAACAACGTATCTTTTTGCTCTCTAGTAATCTTACTAAAAAAAAGGATCAGATGAAAATTATGACCAGTTTGCATATTCTAATTGATTCGATACATCACTTGGCATGATCTTGATTTCTCACATAAGGATACTGATTTCTTTTGTTTGTCATCATAATTTTATGTTAGTCATTTAAATAAATATTAAAGTACCGTTTAGTTGCAAAATACTTCTCTATCCCAAATTTAAAGGTATTTACCTGCAATATTTATCTATCATTCTTTTTTAGTATTCTCTACTTCATTTAACATTCATAAAACTAAAGGAGGGTTTTCGTTATTGTAAGGTAAACTTACGATATAGGATATGAAGCAACATTTTCTGATTTAAAACGGAATATTAACAATAAAATTTATTAACAGTAAGTGAGTAATGAATACTTTTATTGCAAGCACTGTGTAAAAATGTCTATTTAACATATGCAATTAAATTAATGAATAAAAAATTTAAAAACATTATTAGGAATCCCTTACCTCATTGTTCTGAATAATCTATTTGTTGAAAATATTTAACGAGTTTTTGTAGCAGCAAAAAATTAAATACGTTGCGTTAGTACGTACCAATATGATTAGATTCAAATTTTATTCAAATATAAACTAAACTCAGTGGTGCGACAGCACAAAGAAGGCCAAGGCCTTCTGTGCCCATCCCAGTTTCCTTGATCTTGAGCTCTAAGGTGCAGGAGCAGATTTTTCGATTAGGCAGTCAGTTGAACTCGGAACATCCAGTGTTTAGTTCCCAAGCATGCTTGGTGCATAATATCAATCAAATATAGTCAGACTTAAACTTAATTTGAGACTATAAAATTATCTTTAATTGCAATGCATATTTTATTTTGATCTTTTATTTATTATTAGTTCAGATTTTAAATTTATATTATTTATCCGTGCATGTTTTAATATGAAAATAATAATTTAGTAATTGAATAACATTAAGCGGTGTCTTTGTGGATAACGATCCTGATTGGCTGTAGAAATATGGCATTTGTTATGTTTGCAACTGTTCTTTCTATTCCATTTCAAGTTAGCCTAGCCCGTCAAATAAGAAATCGATATGAGATCTCGAAAACGATTATCGAATCGCATCGTATGATAATCTCGCAACTAAAAATTTTTTTTAATTAACAAAGTATGAAATAAATACTTAGGAAAATAAACGAAATGAGTTATTGATTTTTTCTTTATTAACGAAAAGCAGCCGACAATAAAACAAGCCTAACAGATGTAACGTTAACACGCCATCTTGTTTCTTAACAACTGTCTAGCGGGCCAGGTGGTTGTATATCAGCGATCGAGTTGACAATGTCTCACTGTGGGAGTTGGTGAAGGAAAACATTTTAAACGATTTCAAACGAAATTCTAAGAATAAGCTGATGAATTTTGAGAACTAACTTCACTTTTTCATGTTGAATAATTTTTCATACTATGGAAAAAATAATGGTATTTTCGACAAAAAAAAGATAATATTTCCTCATTTAGATATTGGGATATAGACCACTGCATTTATTTTCATTTTAAAAACACTGAACAAAAATATTGAAAAAATAATTTCGAAACTTGTCGAATCATTAAAGAGGAAGACAAAAAACTTATAAACCTGTTTGATTGCAGTAGGAAGGTAATCGTAGTCTGGCATCATATGAAAACCCTTC